GGAAGCACAGGATGGTTGAGCTTGGAAGGGATCTCTAGGGATCATCCAGTCCAACACTCAGAGCACCCGGTCACATCCAGGTGGGTTTGGAGATCTCCAGGGCAGGAGCCTCCCCAGCCTCCGAGGGCAGCCTGTCCCAAGGGCTCTGTCATCCTCACACCAAAGAAGTTCTTCCTCACATGGAGACGGAASCTCCTGGGTTTCAACTTACACCCAGTGCCCCTCATCCTGTCACTGGCCCCCACTGAGAAGAGCTTGGCCCCTTCCTCCCTACATCCTCCCCCCAGGTATTTTACACTTTGATCAGACCCCTCTCTCAATCTCCTCTTTTCGGGCCCACTCACACTGACTGCGGACCAACGAAGACACAACGAGAGCCATAAGAGCACGTGGCCTCCCCATCCTCTTGCCCGCTCGCCCAGTGCCTGCCCCTCTAGGTACCACTTCCTCCATCTCCAGGCCCCAAGGTGTCCCTAAAACCAGCATCCCCAGGCCCTCTCCTAACATCAGAGCGGCTCCGTTTGCAGCAACGTGGGTAGGAGCTCGTTCATTAAGGACCGTCGTGTGAGAACTGCAGGCAGAAATTAAAGTTAAACGCAGGAACAGCCTCCAACCTGCGGGCGCCAGAGGACAGAGACCTTCATCTTGCTCACGTCCGACACACTCGCTATTAGCGCCGTATTAGTTATTARTGCATCAGGATACGGAGCACAGGTAAATGTTCACCCAAGCCAAACCTATGGAAATTACAGCGGCTTCACTACAGAAGAGCAGTATTTCTGTCCTAATCTTTTTTTTTTTTTATTAATTTAGAAAATAACCGAGCGGATTTTCCAGGCGTCTCGCGCCACCTCACCTTCACCACGAGGCCTGGATTTGGATGAACTCCAAAAAACACAGCAAATTCCCACCGGCACCGACAGGTTTCTCCTAGTTGCCCTTCAAAGGCCGGCTAAATCACCAAGCAGGACGTGATTCCCAAYTGGCTTTACCGGGAGCCTTAAAACTGGTAGAGAACTTCAGCAAATTCTACCCCTGTTCGTTGTAGCAGGTGCTGCCACGAGTACCTATTTCATYTCCTCCCAAAAGCAAGGATTACGACTCCGACCCGCAGAATTCCTCCCATTTCCCAAGGTAATTACTGCTTATTTCCCCTTTGCCAAACGGCCTCCGCCGCGCGCTGCCGACGCAGGGGCAGGAGGAGCAGGCAGGGCGGACACAGTCGCAAGGGAAAAACTGCTCAATTACCCTTAAAATCACTGGTGAGCGCGCGGAGATAGGAAAGGACTTCGAGCAGCCAGCAGGGACACGTAACTAGCTCAACCTTAAAATACCTCTTTTTTTTTTTTTTTTTTTTTATTGTGTTTCCTTTCTATTTCTAAAAATAAGCAAAATTTTTGTACTTGGCAAACACAGTTTTTGCTTGCAGCGTTTCTTTCCCCCCCGTTTCTTACTCCTTTGAACGGCGGTCCAAGCTGTATTTAGGCAGCAGTAAGGAGGCTCAGGTGAGACTCAAGAGCAGGAACACTGAAGCCCCCCCAAAGCCAACGCAGTTTATTTAAAAGGAGCAGTCACAGCTGCTTTTCTCCCCGCTGCCACATGAACACATCCCGTGGGGATCGGCTTTCCACCTTTTACCCCGTTCAGGGTATTTCCTGTAACTCGCGGCAAAAGAATAATTGCTTAAAAAGGAATAAATTCCCCCCAAATATTAGACAGGCCACTGTGTGCATCACAACCACGCTGCCTGCAGCAGAGGGCAAATCCTTGTTTGAGCATTTTCAATTACCCCTAAGGATGGAGAACGAGAGCTCAAGTGACACAAAATGATTTAACAGGCTGAACTCCTCAATCTGCCCCAATTYGTCCTCTCTTTCTGCACCATAATCCTCAGCAAGGAACTCCGAGGACACGGAAAGCAGCACTTGCACAGGGCTCATCTCCAACCCAAAGCCATCTCGGAGCAAATCCCAACCTTTCTAACCACTAATACCTCCCAAACTTAGCATTTCTAACCACACTCCTTACACATACGCCACTGAAAGGTCACGCTTTGCCAAAGACACACTGGCCACCGCTGTGAACTTCCAGGTTTTACCCGAAGAATGAACCCCAGCCAGCAGAAAGCCTTCTTTTTAATATGTATGGGTGTGAAACACCGAATTTTATGCTTCTGTAAGTTTTTTTTAATGTATATATTTGGTATTTTCCTTGCCCCAGTAGCTCTTACTGTCGGGTCCTCAAATTAGTTAACTGCAGCCAAAGCAGCTCCTTTATTTCTGTCTGAAGAGCTTGTCCTCCCCAAATAGACACTGAACCCAACTTAACACGTGAGCATGGCTCCCTCCCTCCCT